CCCTTCATGGATCGATCCCATCATAGTATTCTTAAAAGACGACGTACTACCAGAAGAGAAGAAAGAAGCCAACAAAATTAGAGCAAAGTCGCAGCGATTTTGGCTCTCCCCTTCTATGGCATTATACAAAAAGTCATTCTCAGGACCTTATCTAAAATTTGTTCATCCCAGCAAAGTTGAAGCATTCTTGTTCGAGATACACGAAGGTGTGTGCGGAAGCCACCAAGGAGGAAGATCGTTAGCTTACAAAGCCATTTCGCAAGGATACTGGTGGCCATACATGCAGGCAGACTCAGAGAAGTATGTGAAGAAGTGTGAGAAATGTCAGAAGTTCGCACACCAAATACATCAGCCAGCCAGAGAGCTCCTACCATTGACCAACCCATGGCCCTTCGCAATGTGGGGCTTGGACATAGTAGGACCACTTCCAACAGCATCCGGAAATAGGAAGTTCTTTCTAGCAGCAACAGACTACTTCACAAAGTGGGTGGAAGCAGAAGCACTAGCATCAATAAAAAAGAAAGATGTGAAGAAGTTTGTCTGGCAGAATATCATCACACGGTTCGGCATAACCAAGGCACTAATATCAGATAATGGCACTCAGTTCGACGGCAAAATTTTTAGGGACTTTTGTGAGGAGTACAAGATAGAATTCTACAACTCTACACCGGCATACCCCCAAGCAAATGGCCAGGCGGAAGCATCAAACAAGGTGGTCTTGGATGGGTTAAAGAAGAGGTTAGAGAAAGCAAAAGGCAAATGGATGGAAGAGCATCCTCATGTTTTATGGGCTTACCGTACCACACCACGGCTGTCAACAAGAGAAACTCCATTTTCCTTAGCCTATGGTATGGAAGCGGTAATCCCACTAAAAGTCGGTCTCCCCACAATTCGAAGCGAAAATTTTGATCCAGACTTAAATGCCGAAGCTATAGCATTAGAGCTCGACCTGGCCGAAGAAAGAAGAGAAAGAGCACTGGTTCACATTGCCTCGTACCAACAAGAGTTATTCAGGAAATACAACAAAACAGTGCATCCAAGGCAATTCAAGATTGGAGATTGGGTGCTGCGCCAAGTAATGGGAAACACCATGGTTCCGGGAGATGGCAAGTTAGGGCCCAATTGGGAAGGACCTTACAAAGTGGTTGGATTAGCAGGCAAAGGGGCATACCACTTAGAAGATGAGGACGGCAAGGCAATTCCCAGGCCATGGAATACTGCCAATCTCAAATTATTTTATTTTTAGCTTTTTCTTTTAAGTATATGTAATTTTTTTCCTTTCTTAATAAAATAAGTAGCTTCTTTTCAGTGTAGTTGTTTCCTTCTGTAAGAGATTGTTTTAGTGAGTTAGGGACATTAAAAGCAAGGTTGGCTGAAAAAACCAACTTAGAGGTTGGCTGGATTAAACTAACACCCCTCCTAAGCCCAGGATAAGGATCCAGGCTGCAGGACGTTTTGGTCAGAATAAACCAAATACTTTACTCTAGGTTGGCTGAAAAAACCAACTTAGAGGTTGGTTGGATTAAACCAACACCCCTCCTAAGCCCAGAGTAAGGGTCCAGGCTGCAGGACGTTTTGGTCGGAATAAACCAAACACTTTACTCTAGTTTGGCTGAAAAAACCAACTTAAAGGTTGGCTGGATTAAACCAACACCCCTCATAAGCCCAGGATAAGGATCCAGGCTGCAGGACGTTTTGGTCGGAATAAACCAAACACTTTACTCTAAGTTGGCAGGAATAACCAATTTAGAGGTTAGCTGGACTAAACCAACTCTTGGCACTCTTTAGCCGAGGTAGAGATCTCAGCTAAAAGAGTGGTTAGCTGGATTAAACCAAATCTTGGTACTCTTCAGCCAAGGTAAGAATCTCGGCTAATGGGTGGTTGGCTGGATTAAACAAACTCTTGTTACTCCTCAGCCGAGATAAGATTCTCGGCTAAAGAGTGGTTGGCTGGATTAAACCAACTCTTGGTAATCTCCAGCCGAGGTAAAGATCTCGGCAAAAGAATGGTTGACAGATGTACTTATAAATGCAATGTTAAGACTGAGACAAAGGTATCTTGGCAAGAGAATGCTTTACCTCATCCAAGACTTTAGTTACAAAGTAATGTATAAACACAGAGACCAACCGAAATAAGAGTTGGAACAAAAAGCCGACTTCAGTGAAAATTCAAAACAAGTACAAAGGATGGGGCCTAAGCCCGGTTACAATCTGTGTCCAAAAGCTAAGAAAAGAAAAAGTACAGAATCAAGCAAAAAGGTCGTCTATTTTCGCGTCAAGTACAACTCGGAGTCCGGTCTCATCTGGTATCTCGGTCGTCAGATTTTCAACCGGTGGCTCCAACTCAGCTGGCTGAGCAATAGGTTCATTAACGATCGGGGCATCATTTGGAACGACCGGAGCATTGTCTGGCTCAGCTTCTTCTTCATCATCCTCGGACTGAAGAAACTGTTGCTGAACGGACGCAGCATACTCCGACATCGAACCCGGGATAAAATACGGAGGAGGGTTGAAAACCTCGATTTCTGGTCCATGATCGAGCTGGGTTACAGCCGCCCTCCATCCGCATTTAAAGAACAAGTCTTTGGCTGCCTCGCATTGCTTAATGTAAAGAGCCTCTCCCTTCTTGAAACCTTGAGCATCCGCGTCATCCGCCTTCTTTTTCAGCTCGGCGATATCAGCGTTCTTCTTGCCTTGAAGCTTGGCCAGCTCATGCAGGTACTTGTCTTTCATCGTGGTTAGAGACCTTTGTTTATCAGCATTAGTCGAGGTAACTAGTCCGGTCAGACGGGTTACCTCGGCCTCTAGCTCGGCCGTTTCAATTGAGATGCTTTTAGCTCGGCCGTTTTGGCTTCAGCTTCTACCATGGCTTGCCTTGTAGTCTTACGAAGTTCCAACACACGTTTATGAGCGATGTGATTCTTTTGCATGGCCTGCAAAAGAATGGGAAGACTTGTAAACAAACCGAGATGAAAGTTGTGCGAATTAGAAAAACCAGCCAAGAAAACTACTTACAAGCACCATGGATTTAGTGGTCGAACGGATAGCCTTTAACTCGGTCAGGTGGTTGTGGTGCTCCATGTCTACTGGAAGGCAAACACTCTTGACAAGGTTGAATGCCATTAAGTGATCCTTTTCAGCGACCATTGAATCAGTATCCTTGATAGCCCGGTTTTGGAAAGAAATCTTTGGAGCCCACTTAGAAGAGCTAGCTCGGTCTGTACGCTCCGGCTGAGGGCTCGGTGGAGGAGTTGTTAGAGTGGTTTGTGGAACCACGGTTTCGTCTTCGTCAACTAGATATTGCTCGATTGAAGTAGTCCGGGCACACTTCCTTTGACGAGATGATGAGGGTAATGAGATGGGAGGGCCACCACGGTCTCCTGAGGTTGATCGACTGGTGGTACCTCGGTTTGGTTTGTTTCGGTGAGAAGGGCTCGCACGGCTCTCTTCTTGGCCATTTCTTGTTCGGCAGTAAGTGGGACAAGGTTGATTTGAGGCAAGGATGGGTCCGGTTCGGGAGAGGCTTCTAGCAGAAAGTCAGTTACCCTGGTCCTTCATTTTCCACTGTATCGATAGGTCGGTTCAAAATTCAGCAGGTCAGTCCAACTCCGATCTGGATATCGCAGAGCAGCGCGAAGCACGTTTAAGTTGGGGTAGCTGTATTGGGACTTAAGAAAGTTCCTGTTTGCAAAAAAGAAGACAACATTTAGTTCGGTTCATAATCAGAAAACCGAAATAAAGAGAAGAATGTAGTAAAGCCGAGGTAACCTTACCGACTACACCCTTGTTCCAGTTTATTCTGTAGCCTGGGATCTGGGCTTGGTTGTCTTCAAAATTCCCAGATACCCAGAAAAAATCATCGTCGTTCAAGTCTTTGTCCGGTGTGTCCTTTATTATTTTTTCACGCCGGCGCTTTATTCGTAAGTAGTAAACCCAGCCATCTTTGGCTGATCCTATGGAATACTGGTGGAAGAGCTCGGCTAGATAGAGGTTAAGGCCAGCCCGGTGGTTTAGCTCGGCTATTCCGTTTATTATGCAGTAAGAATTGGTGGAAAGTTGTGTAGGGCAGAGTTTGGTTTGCCTGAGAAATTCACAGAGTAAGGGCTGCACAGGGAAGCGTAGACCGCACTCCACAATGGAAATAACATTAAAAGGGACAAAGCCCTGTTTACCCCAAGGAACGGTTTCTAGTTCGGCCAAAGAAAGGTGGACGTCGTCTGGATTTTGATAGTCTTTTCGAAATTTGGCCATGGCACCGGGTGAGTTTACTAAATACCTATACTTTCCCATTTATGGTTTAAGTTATGAATAAATTATACTTGGGTGTTAGCTCAGTAAGAGAATGGTGCCGAGTAGCTCGGTTGAGTGTTCAGAGGAGTGTCTGGGCAACCTAAGTCTGCAAAGTGAAAAACAAAGGTGTTAAGCACAGACCGTTGGACTGTGCCAAAAGAAATAAAGGCAAGATAAGTAAAGTCCTAGCTCGGTTATATGAGATGCTACAGGTCTTAGCTCGGTTTGCGTAAAGGGTTTCTTAGCTGGATTTGAGCAGGGGATTTGTTAGCCCAGTTAAGCTTCTAGGGGCAGCGTTCTTAGTTTAGTCTGAACTAGGAAGGCTGGTTTAGCCCCAGAATGTAGCTCGGTCAGGATTAAGGCTTTCAAGCGTATTATTGCACAGACCTAGTCCGGTTCGTTAGTTCGGCTAGGGAGAATAAGGTACTTTGGCCTATTAGAGCTACAGGAGTGGCATGGCGTCTTAGTTCGGCGCTTAGTTTAGCTTGACTTTCATTAACTACAAACAACTTCTTATTTTGGATTGAAACCAGTGTTTCTCAGAGTATTTCATAAATACAAGTGGTTCTTATAAGGTTTTTCTCAGGAAAAACGCAAGGCAAAGCAAATGGAAAGAATATGTTTCGTAAACACACAAACAAAAAGCTGTGGATTAAACAAATGCGAAAACCACAAAAGGAGAATAGATCTATATAGCTTACCAGGACAAAATGAGGGCAACAGTTACAAGCAAAGATCACGAGCTTCATAGTTACAAGGTTGAAATGGGGGGTTCAGAGGCTTGCAAGAGAGAGAAGGTGAATAGTAAAATGAATGATTCAAAGCATTAGGGATTGTTTTATGAAAAGAGAAGAGCTAAAGGCGGGAACTGTTCAAAAAAACACGAGGTACGAAGACGGCGTGACAGCTGCCTTCAGCCACTGAGAGCATTCCACGTGTCCTTGGAATGAGAAGCGATTCAGTTGCTGTGATTGACGAGACGTTTTGACCGGACAGGTACAGCCCGGCGTGGAGTCAGCTCGGCTGGAAAGGCTAAAGGAGTTTTAGCTCGGCTGGAAAAAGCTTAAAAGCCTAGCTCGGTAATAAGATTAAATTTTTTAGCTCGGCTGTAGACAAGGTAATCCCTATCATGCTGCGCAGATGGAATTAAGGGGCAATTGAGAGGGTAATTTATATGAAAATTGGGCCGAGCTAGGTAATGAGCCGTTATGGGTCACAGTACGAAGGGCTAAGTAAGGAGGCTTAAAGTTACTCCAGTCCAAAGGAGGCTTAAGGTTACTTCGGTCCAAAGGTAAGCTCGGTCGTCACGCAGAAAGTTATCCCGGTCGGGACCACGTTATTGGTTATCCCGGTCGAGACATACCATGGTTAGCATTAGGAGAAACCGGGGTAAGAGTAGTGAATGGGAGAGTCGAACTAAAGTTAACTCGGTCTAGTCTGCGGCTTAGCATAGCCATGCTTACCTCGGTCATATTGGAGTCCGACCATGGTAAAACCATCTCACTTGGTTTAAGCAGTGAGGAGGGTGTTGAAGGATAAGCATTATCTTTCAAGAGTATGACTCCTAGGAGGACTCTACATGGAGGAGTAAGAGTCCTACTAGGGTTGTGCCCCGCGGAACCTATAAAAGCTCACAACATCACCTATGGAGAGGTAACACAACTTTGATTCCCAAATACACAGCTTTTTGTCTATTTGTCTATTCTGCTGACTTAGGCATCGGAGAGGTATCCAACACACATCCGCCGGCTAGCTCACGTTTGTATTTTCAGGGAGTAAAGCGACGTCGTACGAAGGAGCGCAATCTTGATCAACAGGATTATACGATAAGCTTTATTTCTTTCCCGTACAGGTATTAAGCATGTTGCTAATACAAATGCTCCGTCACTTAAATAAGTTATGGAACATTTATTCTCCAGACTTAGATTGAGTATTTCTAGATTACAGGGTCAAGGATATGATAGGGCTAGTAATATGGAAAGTGAGTTTAATGGCCTTAAAACACTTATACTGAAAGAGAATCCTTGTGCATATTATGTTCATTGTTTTGCTCATCAATTGCAATTGGCACTTGTAGCCGTGTCAAAGAATCATAATCAAATTGCTTTACTTTTCACTTTGGTTTCTAATGTGGTGAATGTTGTTGGAGCATCATGTAAACGCTGAGATATTGTTAGGGAGAAGCAAGCTACAAAAGTTGCTGAGGCACTTAATACTGGAGAGCTATCTAGTGGGCAAAGCTTAAATCAAGAAACTAATTTTAAATGTGCTAATGATACATGTTGAGGTTCACACTATGGTACTTTAGTCAGCTTGACTAGTATGTTTTCAACAGTGACTGATGTGCTTGAAATGATTTCGGAGGATGGATCAAATTCAGAACAACGAGCAGAAGCAAATGTATTGTTGGACTCAATTCAATCATTTGAGTTTGTATTCAACCTTCATTTGATGAAAACAATATTGGCTATTACAAGTGAGTTATTGCAAGCACTACAAAGGAAAGATCAAGATATTGTTAATGCCATGAATTTAGTTCAAATTTCTAAAGTACAGCTCCAAAAGATGAGGGAGAGTAGGTGGACATCTTTACTTGATGATATTTTGTCTTTTTTGTGAAAAGCATGAAATTGATGTTCCCCAAATGGAAGATATGTTTATAGCTCGAGGGAGAAAAAAGGCGCAATGCTCAAGAAATTACAAACTTACATCACTATCGTGCTAAGTTATTCTATACTGTTTTGGATATGCAAGTTCAAGAACTAAATGCTCATTTCACTGAGTCGAACACTGATTTGTTACTTTGTGTGGCATGTTTGAATCCATCTAACTCTTTCTCTAGTTTTGACAAGAAAAAGTTAATTCATCTTACTGAATTTTATCCCAAAGAATTTTCTTTAGTGGAGCTCATGGTATTTAATGATCAACTTGATACATATATTATCGACATGCTATCTAGTAGTGAGTTCTCAATATTGAATGAAATTGCCGATCTTGCTAAGAAAATGGTAGAAACTAGAAGTGACAAAATATATCCATTGGTGTATTTGCTCTTGACTTTAGCATTAGTCTTACCTGTTGCAACTACTACTGTTGAGAGGGTATTTTCAGCTATGAATATTGTGAAGAATCGGTTGTGGAACCGAATGGGTGATGAATGGATGAATGATAGCTTGGTTGTCTAAATTGAGAGATATTTTTGATGGCATTGACAATGATACTATTATGGAAAGATTTCAAAAGATGAAAACTCGTCGGGGTCAATTGTAAAAGTTTAAAGTTTAAAACTTTTTGTAATGGATATTAATTTTTAATGTTTAACATTAGCTCGAAAAATTATTATTATGTTATTATTATTGATTGGGAAAGAAAAATTTTGAGATTGTAATTAATGGGTGCCCCCCGTATATTAAATTCTTGGCTCCGCCACTAGTTGTTTGCTTGCTTTACCATACTTATGTATGACTATCATGGGCTATATTTCTTCTCTTATGTTGTCTCATACTCTTTTATATTACCGAATGTGACTAACTTACTTATCAAAAGATCTAATAAATAGAAAATGATACGGGGTTGGCAATGGGTGACGTTCACACTAGTGTTTCAGAATAATTTATACATATAAATGACATGAATTATGATGGAATTAATACCAAATGAGTTAAGTCTTGCACAAATGGTTTAAAGGAACCGCTAGGTTGACACGAGTGTACTTAGACTCTATGCAGTGGTTTCAAGGTGTAAACAAACCCTTTGATATGGTATGTGCAGGGTGTAAACGAGTCCTAGGCACGATTTGGGTGTAAGAGAGCCCACTTGTTTGGCCGTCCCTTTTGAGGTCCATCAATGTTGCTGACCAGTAAATAACCGGGAGGTGGGCATAGGTGGTAAGGTTTGCAAAGCAGCAAAAATGAGAGTTCTGAATAGCCCGGTGTTCAAGCCTTGTGGTTGGGTAAAAAGATCTCTTTGGGGGATTCTAGATATCTAGTCTAACTATTAAGGGGTTGTTTGGAGTGTCCTAAATAAGTGCACTTTTTGTCTTTTTAGACTAAAAAGTTGAGGTTGAAAATATGAATGTTTGGGTTAACTTTTTAAATTTTTATGAAAAAATGTGTATTAAAAAATTGTATAAATTAATGTGTAGGGGAAAATTAGTATTGGGAGTTGTGCAGCCGTAATTGTTGACTTTTGGTGAATAGTGATAACTTTTTAACTTTTTGAGTAACTTTTTGACTTTTTGGCTTTTTGGCTTTTTTGAGACTTCCCAAACTTGGCCTAATTCATAGAACCTTATTGTAATATTGTATATTATGGTACCCGATTTGTTCTGTGTATGGTTGATTGGTTTATAGAAGGTATGGGGGTGTGTGTGTTTTTACTAGGTATTCGAAACTCATGGCGTGTCATATCAGATGACGAAACGGTTTACGATGGTGAAGGTTATCCCGAAGGCAATCAAGATAAAGTGTTGGAACCGTAGTTCATTTGAAGATTTAGACTAGTAATTTTTTTTTTCTGACTTTGTTTTGACAATGTTTTGTAATCCTATAGCGGAACACAAATGAATTATCTGTACTACTAACTCTGCTTATATCTGTCTATTAAAATATTTTGATTATTTATCTTATTTGAGTTGTATTTTGTACTCTTTTTTTTACGGTCTTGAATTTTGGGAGGTGACATAGTTGACCAACTGTGGGACAAATAAAAAAAATGCAGATAAGATTCAATATTTAAAATAACAAGTTAGCCACTGTAAGGTAAGAACAATAAGATTTACATTAATTAAAAAATAATTTGACTTTATTAATGGCCCTGGATTGGTAGAAACACAAAATATTTATTGTACATGAATCTTTACATGTAAGTGTAGGAGAAAAGTTAGGGATCATGAAAATTTTTTCATGAAAATGATTATGAAAGATTTATGATCTTTGGATTACCTTGATTAGTGTGTGGTGTTTTATTCTAAGTGTAATCTAAAGGTCACAAAACTTTCATGATTATTTTCCTAAAAGGTTTTTCATAATATCTACACTACTAGAAAATTGGCTTTTTGCGACTATTTTTTTGCTACTGCTTGTTTGGCCGTCGCAAAAGAAAAAATAAAGCTCCAATTTATATTTAACCTTTATTTTTCCTATTTTCTTTATTTATTTGCTTTTGCCCTAGCTTGGCTCGCTCAACCTCTCTCTCTCGCTCTCGCTCACCGGTATGAATCTCTCTATCCCTCTTGATCTTAATCGATTGATCTCTCAATCTCTCACCCTCTCTCGATCTCTCAATCTCTCTTTGTATCTGCGTACACGTTGTCTACTCTCTCTCTGCAATTTGCGCGATTCGTTGCAGAGAAACCCCAACTCTGCCATGGAAAAGTTGTCTCGAAGCACTCAAATGCAGCAGAGTAAGCTCACCTCTCATGCGTTTCATCTACCTCAAAATTTACCTACATTACGCGCGTGCACGCGTGCGCACACACACACAAAGACTATCTTTGAGCTTCATTGTGTACATAGTGTCCTATCAATGCATAATTACATGAATGCTTATATACATATGTATATGTATTCAGCATCGCAATGCAAATTTGTCCTCGGTTCTGTTTTTGCTTCTTTGTTTTTTACCTCTGTTTTGGTTCTTTGATCCATAAATTGCTCGATTTGTTCTAATTTTTTGTTCTTTTTTCAATGTTTTTCGTGTTTATTGGTTGATTAGTTGGTTTGAGAAAATCATCGTAAAACTTTGTGGCTATTGCTAGTGGTGATGCCTCTAAGGCCTTTATACGAGCATTACAAGAGAAGGTTTTTTTGTTGATATTCTCATCCCATTAGAAGTAATATTCAAAATGCAGCTCTTTAATTTTTATAAGTAATGGGCCTTACAGCTAATCTTTGTCACACTTTGTTGTTTAAAATCGTCCATGGACCATAAAATACACAATTGGAATAGGTTGTCTGCCATGGCTGTTGAACAGATTGTAATGACAGAGTGATCCATTCTATATGTTAGAATTTTTTTTGCTAGACTTTGTTAATATGTTTAGTAATTTTCATGTTTTTTTTTTTGGTTCTCTAGTGACAACTATACTTGTTAATGAGCTAAGAAATTTCAAAAATTATAAGGTAGCTCACATTTGTATCCATAGACATAGGAATATTAATTTTTATTGAAACTTTCATCTTTGATGAATTTTATTTTATTTATTCTGTTTACCTAAACAACTTACATCTGTTGTCATTCTTTTGAAGGTGTCAGATGAGTGGGGCCGAAACTCATGGTGGAAGCCTTCCATGAACCAAAGAATAGAAAAAAGAGTTCAAGGTTTGTACATTTAGTCCCACATTTCATCTTACCCTTCTGTATACTAAGGTGGCTTGGTTGGATTTTGAACATCTGAGGAACTAATAAGAGCCAGGATGAGAGTAATGGATATGGTGCTTAATACTTAGATGGTACGGAACCAAACAAGTTTCTATCAGTCTCAGTCTTATAAATTTTCATGATTATAAATTTTGTCTCCATTTCAAAAATTAGCATTAACATGTGTTTCTCTCTTTATATATATACCTCTGTGTGTTTCCCTATGACTTATGCTCATTGATTAACATTGAAATGGTAACTGATAAAATTAATGGTAACTGATAATATTTATTCTACTTATAACATTGAAATGTTTTATTCCCATCATTTTCCTTTATTATCTTTTTAGTGTTCAATTAATAATCTCTCTCCAATTGCTTCGATATTACGAAGCAAATAATGTGTTTAATTTATTCCTTGTAGCACTTTAAAATGTTACTAATTAATTTTATAAAGTATAACAATCAAGAGTGGAAGCCACAATATTTGAAAATGACATACAAATGTTACAGAACACCCTCAAGATTTGTACATCCTGTGCAATATCAAATGCAGTGGTCAGAGCTTTCATGAATCAATCCTAGGGGAGTGTATGAACAAGTTTTGATGTTGTCAAGTAACCATCATTTTCTAACTAACATAGGCAAAAATGCTCAAGAACATGTTTGGAGCAATGCACAGACAACATGTTTTTTGGATGGATGTTGCTACTATATTGTTTTTGGTAAAACTAACTCTCTCTCTCTCTCTCTCTCTCTCTCTCTCTCTCTCCAAAATGAGTGACCTTTCAGTAGCATCACATTGCTAATTTTCTGCTCAAAAGAATATTGTTTCTAGCTCAATTTGTGTACTAAAATTTTCTAATCACAATGGTGCATTTTCAGATCAAACGCATTTTCATTGAGGTTGCTGATGCATTGTTTCAGAATGTGATGTTGTTGTATACACACACACATATATATATTTGGATTTTTAACATCCTTGCTAATTAGTTTGCCTTAGAATTAAGGAGTGTGAAGGGTTTTTCTTGCCTCATCTTGAATTTGATGTTTGTGGTTTGTTGAATTGAAATGTTTCACTATGAAGTGATAGATTTGGAATTGGTATAAAAAACAACGGGTCAAAACTTGGGCCCCAGCGCATGCTTGGATCAAGTGCAAGCTTGGATTTGAGGAACATATATTTTCCATAGAGAATCTTTTCTTATTGTTAATTCTCTTGCATATCTGCATGTGTATATTTTCCATAGAGAAATCTTTTCTGTTTGTGGTTTTCTTCCTTGAAATAATCCAAACTCTGTAACTCAAGTTCTGGTTTATATATTTGAATATTAGTCTTTGCGGTTTAACTCTTACATTGACTCCTTCAGGTTCCACTACTTCCACCGAGTAAATGGAATTAGGACTCCCTACATTTTTCAATTGCCTTTTAATCACCTTACTCATCTTCTCGAGCTTGAACATTACAAAAATCGAAGGATAATTGAGGCTAAAACCCTTGTTCTCCAGCAAAGTCTCATGGCAACTTACATTCCTGTGAGTAATTGCGAAAATTTCTGATTTTGTGTATCCCAGGGTGCACAGATGAGTGATATACTTATCTGGCCTGATATCATATACCAGTCCTGGATTGATGGCTCTCTCGGGGTTTACATGTCCAGCTCCAGTTGCATATTTGGGATCATTTGACGAGTATTGATTGCTTTAAAATTCTGTAGCTACATTATGTATACATATTTACTAATAATGCTCAATTGTCACCAGATTGTAAATGCAATTATGAGTAGAAGAGATGTTTTTGTTATTATGGTTGCTGGTGGAAGGAA